TCCCGCCCCTGGGAAGGCCAAATGGCTGGCCTCAGAGGTCCACCAGTCCTGAGATGCCCCGCTTAGACCCTCGACTCGGCTCCCCTCCTTCTGGTGATGTCTGTGGTTCGCGGCGATCCAAAGGTTAATGTCCGAGGAGGCCAGTCCCTGAAGGGAGAAAGAAGGGTCTCACTCGGCCAGCCTGAACCCACGCTAGCCCTGTGGAGTTTGGAAGCTCAGCAGGGCCCGGCCTTGGTCGCCCTGGACTGGGAGACCACCAGGCAACATCGGGGATCCCCAGGCCGGTGAAGGAAGGAAGGAAGGAAGGAAGGAAGGAAGGAAGGAAGGAAGGAAGGAAGGAAGGAAGGAATCCCTCCCTCCCTCCCTCATGGAAGCCTGGAGCACAGCCAAGACTGGCTGCCTGTGAGAGGTGACCATACAAGCCCAGACAGACCAAAGCAAAGCGTGCTGCTTATATACCGCCCCATAGCACTTCAAGCGCTCTCTGGGCGGTTTACAAGTTAATTACGCAGGCTACACATTGCCCCCCCCCCTCCAGCAAGCTGGGTACTCATTTTACCGACCTCGGAAGGATAGAAGGCTGAGTCGACCTTGAGCCGGCTACCTGGGATTTGAACCACGGGTCATGAGCACAGTTTTGGCTGCAGTACAGCAGTTTAACGACTGCGCCACGAGGCTCCTCGTGAATCTGGTTCAGTGGGAATCAGGTTTCCTTGCCAAGTTTCCCCACCAACCCAGGACAAGATAAAAGGGAAGGAAGGAAAGGATGGGAGAAATGCTCTTACCTTTAAATCCTTCTTCAGGCATACAGACTGGAAAAGAAGAGAAACCATGGGTCAGAGAAACCACGAAGTGCCGTATTTGGGTGACGGGAGGCCTGCAGAAGGCACTACTGTACGTCCTTTCCACCTTTTCCATTTTCTCCGCCAGGGAGGGGGGCTTTCAGGGGGTCGGGGGGCGGCTTTTTTCCTTACCTTGCATAACGTCATCTATGGCCGTGTAGTCCACAATGGGTTCGTCAGCCTGTGCGAGGGAAAGACAAAACAGCAGAAGACGCATAAGGCTCCCCTGGCATTTTGCCGCCAGCAGCCTGAGTGGGGCAGGACGGAGGGAGAAAAACCCTCCCACCAGCCCTGGTGGCTCTCTGGTTACCTTTAATAAAACTACAGACTCTGGAGTGACCCCGAGGCTGCCGAGGGTGGCTGAGTCGTCGGTCAGGATCGTGCCATCGATGGACAGGTTCTGGTCGAACGGCGCAACGGAGAAAGCGTGCATGATCTGTGCCAAAGAGAGCGCAGAGAGAAACCATGGGTGCGAGGTGACAGCGCGAGGTGCGCATGCACACAGAAAGCCAGGCCATCTTTCCATGCCTTTTGCGGCCGGTCTTCATCCTTGCTACTCCTGACTTTCTCTCGATCACGACACCTCTTCCGCAGGGCTGTGGTGCCCTGGCCCTCTCCCCCTTGCCTGCTGAGCCCCCACCCCCATCCCACCCCAGTTAAAAAGGATCATTTCCTCTGAAACCCCTTCCGGAAAGTGGAAGGATGTACCTTTAAGGAGGTTGACGCAGGAAGTGTGAGCAGCAGAGGACAAGAATCAAGAGCCTGCGTTGGAGCCCCTGTCGTTTTCTGGCTTCCAAGTCGCGGCACAGAGAGAGTGGCCCCCTCCCCCAGCCTTCACCAACTGGATTCCCAACAGAGGCTTTTTTGCGGGTGGGTGGGTGGGTGGGCAGGCAGGAGACAGAAGGCCCCTCGCTCTGCCCAGGTGAGGCAGAGGAGCCGCTTCGGGCAACCAGAGCCCTGCCCGCCTCACCTGGATCTTCAGGTCTTTCAGTGTCTGGGTCGCGGAGACAAGGAGCGCCTTCTCCCCACGGACCTTCCTGTGCCGCGTGCTCCGCCGGATCCCCTGCTTTTGGTACGCAAGATAGTTTGGGTGTGAAACCTTCTGCCGTTTCACGTTGCTGTTGGCCTGGAAAGGAGAGCATTCTCTGTTGGTCCAAACGGCTGCAGCTTTTAATGGGAGGTCGCACAGAGCTCATGATTAAGTTGGACACACGGCCCTCTGGAGGCGGCTGGACTACTTCTCCCATCATCCCCGAGGGGGAAGCAGGAGCCCAGGAAGCCAACGGCAGCCCTGATTTAAGAGACCTGCTTCACTCCCTGCGAGGCGTCAGCAAGGTGCCAAAATTCAGCACCCAGAAGGTATCTGTTGAAATTAAGAGCCACTGCTTGCAGAAGTTGCTTGGATAGAGGGCCACTCCCAGA